AAAAAAAAAAAGAAAGAAAATAATGTCCAAAATTTATTGAAGGCTTTAATCCTATATTAGAAATTAATTTCTCTTCCTTTGTTCCTCTACACCTCTCCAAGAAGTTCAAAGTAATAAACCTCGCAGTTAGCTACAGCTTTCAAGCACTAAGTGCAGAGCGTAAATGTGACATTTCTGTGCAGAAGATTTTAACAGATGTAGGAGGGAGAGCCTCTAAAATCCATACCCAAAGCACATATTCCCGTTACATATTCTTTTCTAAAGGATTGAAAACAAATGGGGCAGTGTGGCAAAATGAATATAGCCATTATCTGGGTCCTTAGTTCACTCATACCACCAGTGTCTGTGAAGATAATTCCACTAAAGTGTACCTGCCTCAAGTCTAGGTATTTTTCAATAAATTCATCTGTAAGAACAATAAGGATAACTGGACAGAGAAAATTGGACAAGAAGGTAGACCAGAGAAGAACTGATGCTTCTGAATTATGGTGCTGGAAAACAATACTGAATACACAATGGACTGCCTAATCTGCCATAATACTTCCGAGAAGTGAGGATAGTGAAGTTTTGTCTCAGCTCTTAAGATATATTACCAGTAGCGAACAATTTCTGGAAAAGGACAGCATGTTTGGTAAAGCAGCAGGTCAGGGAAAGGAAAAAAGAGAAAAGAAAAAAGACTGTGAGGATGGTTGGACTAAGCAGAGTTTCCTTTGTCGTCAATTAAGTTGGACCTAATTCAGTAGAATCCAATAACAAGCATGAGTGTGTTACTATGCAATAGGTATGTGATAACTTTATATACATCCTTTCATTTACTGCTGAACTGACTGCACAGTCAATTAACAGTACTGTCAATAAACAGGATACCTGTAAAAAGTTGAACTGGCAACTTGCAAGTGGCCACCCAAGGTACAACAATCAGAAAAAAGGACAGTCACAATTAGGAAGAGGACATAAAGTGTGTGGCTACTTGTCTCCATGAATCACTTCTTTTTCAATGAGACGAAAGAGCTGGCTACTACTACTAAATATTCTGACTACATATCCTATAGCAGAATCCTTATCAAAAGAGAAGACACTATAGAAGAGAACTTCAAACTTTCAGAAAATTCAGACTTTTTGGATCCAACGAGGCTAAAAGAATCCCTAAACTATTTCTCTTTAAACCTTAAACCAAAAATATCCTAACAGCTTTCACAAATCAAACAAGATCTTAATTTGTGTCATTAAATAAAGATCAGCCTTGGGTATTACATTCTTTTAAGAACTATCAATGTGGAATTAAATTGACAAGAGCAATTCAAAAGATTATAGGTGGGGATTAGTGAGTGAGGAAGAACAGTTTGAAAAAGGAGGGCAGGAATTATTGTACAATCTGAAAGAATCAGTGCCACAAAAGTGTGTATGTTAAACTGGCTGAAAGAATTCACACAGTGTAATAAGACCTTGTGGACTACTTATTTTACATACTATCCCAATCCCAAATTATGCCAAGAAATCTGGAGTACAACAACCTGGCAAATGGCTGGAACAGATCTATATTTGTTCCCATTGCAGAAAAAGGTGATCCAAAGAACGTGAAAATTATCGAAAAATAGCATTAATATCATATGCAACCAAGATTCTGCTGAAGATTATACAAAAATTACTGGAACAGCACATCAACAGAGAACTGCCAGAAGTGCAGGCTGGGTTTAGAAGGGGTTGTGGTACTAGGGATATTGTAGTTATTATTAGAAGGATCTGGCTGAAAGCAGAGAGTAACCAGAGGAATGTCTATCTGTGTTTCATCAACTATGCAAAGGCGTTTGACTGTGTGGACCACAACAAACTGTGGCTGACTCTGAGAAGAACGGGGATACCAGAACACTTGATAGTGCTTATGCGATTTCTGCACTTGGACCAGGAGGCAGTTGTCAGAACTGAGCAAGGGAAACTGCATGGTTCAAAACTGGGAAGGGTATATGCTATGGATATGTCCTATCTCCATACCTTTTCAATCAATATGTAGAACAGATTATCTGGGAGGTTAGACGCTATGAGGAGAAATGTGGCATCAGGATTGGAGGATGATTCATCAACAACCTACGTTATGCAGATAACACAACCCTGCTTACTGTAACTGAGGAGAACCTGAAGTGCTTGCTGTGGAAGGTCAGAGTGCAGCCTTCAGTATGGACTGAGGCTCAATATCAAGAAAACAAAGATTCTCAACACTGCACCGATTGGTAGCATCATAATGGATGGTGAAGAGATTCTTCACAGCTTTTGAGCTATAGTACTGGAGAAGAGTATTGAATACATACCATGGACTGCTAAGAGAACAAATAGGTTTGTCCTGGAAAGGGTGAAGCCAGGCTGCTCCCTGGAGGCAAGGATTCTGAAGCTTCATCTGACATACTTTGGACATGTTGCAGGCGGGACCAGTCCTTGGAAAGGGATGTCAAGCTTGGGAGGGTGGAGGGACCATGCAGGAGAGAAAGACCCTCGAAGAAATGGATTGATTCAGTGACTGTGGTTATGGATGTAGGTGTGTCAGAGACAATAAGATTGGCACAGGGTTTAGGGCTGTTGTACATAGGCTTGCTATGAGTCTCAGGTTACTCGACAGCACATAACAACAATATCCGAACCCCAGGGAGCTCTGGTGACTTAGCGGTAAGGAGTTGTGCGGACAATCCAAAGGCATGTGTTTTGAATCCCCTAGCTGCTCTGCAGATAAAGACAGGCAATCTTCTTTCGTGCAGTTTATACCTCTGAAAATCCACTATAGAATCTGCTACATGCTACAAGTCAGTTTTGACTCCATGATACATAGCAATATCCCAATTCTACTTCTAACTTCCACCTTTCCAACAGTAGTCCAAAACTGTTCAAACATCCCACATGCTCACAGAACTGAAACCAAACACACACATTCATTCCATCTCCCAATGATGTCGGAATAGACACGGAAAGCCATTCTGGCCAATGTAGTATATAACAAAATCTGCTGTTAAATATCTAAGGAAGGTTTCTCCCAAATAAGAGACACAAGAGACTCTTCTTCCCATGACACTGTCCTAACTATGATGAGCTTCTGATCTGAGATATTAAATTTCTTTATAATAGCATTTAAGTCATTAAGTCAAAGCTTTTTGTTTTTCTTAGACAATAGCACCAAGGTCTCTGGTAAAGTAGCACATAGTAAACTACTGAGTTTTCTCAGCAATTCAAATTTACCAGACATTTAGTAGGCAAAAGATGGGTAGTTCTCCTCCCATTGTGATCCACAGCCTCAGAAACCCAATGGAGAATTATGAAATGCAAAAACTGCTAAACACCAGTGAGCTTGAATTTGATTGGGGGTTGGGGGTGCGGATGACATGCCAGGAGGTTTTCCATCTTTCTCCCAGGAACGACACAGTGATTGCTCTGAGTGGGCAGCACCTTAATATATAAAAGTGGTAGATTTGTAATTCAGAAAGACAAGGTGACTCGGTGACTCCATAGCCCCAAAATTTTAATCACTTGTCTCTCCCCTTTATAGATCCTCTATCATTTAGCACCAAATCCTAGTACCTAAAAATGAAACCAAGCCAAAACTTTAATATCGTCAAACTGCCCATAGCTATGAATTAGTCCACAGAAGCAGACTACCTAGTCTTTCTTCCATGGAGTGGCTGGTGGCTTCAAACTGCTGGTTAGCAGTTCAATGCTTTTAACCACTATGGCATTAGGACTCTTTAGCATTTAAGAAAGCACCTGTTAAATAAATGCAACAGAACTTTAAACTCATCCTTCAAAGACAGGGTGAATAAATATTTCATCAAGTTGTGGACCCCAAGTAACACTCTTCAAAAAAACTCACTCATTGCTGTCAAATCAGAACTGACTCATAGCTGACCCTCCAGGGAGGGTTCTCAGGGCTATAAATCTCACGGGAAGAGACTGCCCAATTTTCTCCGTCAGGGCTATGGATGGAACTGAACCACCAGTGAGGTGCAGTCTGTGGGTTAGTATTGCAACTCTCAACAAACTACACCTCCAGTTAATACAGAGTCTGTATCCTCCTAGATGAGACCAAAGATTAACATATTTTTGTAAACACAGTCCATACTAGGAAAAACAAAGCAACCTTGCAAGCCAATAGTTTCCAGGTCCAAACAATTCTAGGGCACTGGATCACTGAAAAACTGCATAAAAAATTCCACAGGTCTCTCATAATTTCTATTAATCATCTGTTAGCAGCCATACAATCTTCTCACTCTTCCTTTTATTTCAACCTTGACCTAAAGGGCCAGTCTCTTGGCATCCTAAAAGAGAGCCTGTTCAGGGAGAGAAGATGCCTCTTCATAGTTCAGATTCAGTATAGCTTTTAATTCATAAGAGTTTAGCTCTTAGATAAAATGATCAAGCTTCACAACTCAGCTGAGCCCTTGGACTTTACTAACTGATGATCTCCAGAATTTGAAAGATAGGCTTCAGACCATTATACACAGGTCCCAGGAGGGTCCTGGAAAAACGATACTATTTCTGGCAAGGTGCTTGGATCAAAGTCAAATTAGAGATGTAAAGGTGGAATATTCCATGCTTTATTATCAATTACATTCCCCAAAAACAAAAATAAAGACAATCATCATTTATGAAAGGTTACTCTTTTCTTTTTAAGAAAGACCACACTTAAAGTCTTTTTTTTCCCCCCCTCAAACACAAGTATTGCAAGATAACACACTTCAACCTAAGGGTTGCAGAATCTTGTCAAATGTCACATGATCTTCTCTTTATCACTTGGATCACTTGGCCTTTTTGCAAAGTGTAAAAGGTAGTGATATCTCCAGCAAAAACCAAAGTTAACTCTACTGATTCTAGAATAAAATGTCTAATAACGCACCTGTGTAACTTTGTCTCCTGGAAGTCAAGGAGGCATCTGACTACTCACAAAGAACTCTTTCTTAAGGACAAATCTTGATTCACCAAGGCCGCCCTATTATCTCCAAGTGTATAAAAGCAAAGTTTACCTTGTAGTTGCTGGAGTTCACCCAAGAGGTAGCAAGTCCGTCCACAAGTTTATCTAACATAGTCTGGTCATGCTCCAGGTCAGCTGACTTCTGTTTGTCTGAGAAATAATCTATAAGTTCTTGGCCAACCTGCAGGCGCTTCCCCACATCCTTCTGTAACACCTGTGCCAAGCAGGACTCCATGCGAGGCTCCATGGTGGAATTCAAATCCAGATCCAGCAAACGCTAGAGGGCAGTCAGGACGACTCCCTCCCTGTAAACAGATCCTAGAAGTTGTCTCTTTGTTTGCTGACTGTTACCAAGAGCCTGTGTTTCAAAGATGCAATCCGGGGAATGGCAACAATGCACCATGTGTGTCTGAAGAGCAGCTGGTTGGATATTAAAAGTCCAATTTAAATATCTAGAAGAAGATGAAGTGAGTGGCAGAAGGATGTCATACATAAGGGTCTGAAATACTTCATAATTCAGCAATTCACTCTGAAAAATAAGAGAGAATGATAAGTCAGCACAGAATAAACTCTTGAATGTTATAAAACATTAAATCAAAGATAAAGTCATTCAGACTATAGATTCATTTCTAATGAGAAGTATAAAAACTTGTTGACCATATATGAATAGCACAATAACTACTTTTATCAAGAATAATACTAGCAGCGCGAGGGCGACGCAGCGCGAGGGCGACGCAGCGCGAGGGCGACGCAGCGCGAGGGCGACGCAGCGCGAGGGCG